GGTGTCCAGACAAAGCTATTAAAACCAACTATAGCTATAAATTATTAATGAATACAAATTACCAAATATGTAAATTTTGACATCAAAATAATGAAATGTGGGTGGGAGGGAGTGAAAGTGTAGAGTTTTTATATGCAATTAAAGACAAGTTTTATCAGATTAAAGTAAACTGTTTTAAGGATAAGCTATATTATGTAAGCCTCATGGTAATCATAAAGCAAACATTTATAGTAGTTACACACAATATAAAAAGAAAGGATAAAAAGTATACAACCATACAAAGCCACCAAACCACAAAGGAAGATAGTAAGAGAGAAAGAAGGAAGCAAAAGACCTATAATACAATCAGAAGAGAAATTACAAAATGGCAGTGGTAAGCACTTACTTGTCCATAATGACTTTCAATGTAAATGGATTATACTGTCCAATAAAATACATGGAGCAGCTGAATAGATTTAAAAAAAGCAAGATCTAATCATAAGCTGCATACAAGAGACTCACTTTAGTAATAAGGACACACACAGACTAAAAGTAAAGGGATGGAAAAGATATTCCATGCAAATAGAAACGAAAAGAGAGCTGGGGTAGCTATACTTATATCAGACAAAATAGATTTAAGTTAAATACTACAAAAAGAGAAAAAGAAGGCCATTACATAACAAAGCATTAAAATCACCACAAAGACATAACAATTGTAAATATACACCTACCTAAGATCAGAGCACCTAAATACACAAAGCAATTACTAAACGATCTAAAGGAAAAAATAGAATTTAATAATATTACAGTAGGGGCTCTCCATATTCCACTTGCAATAATGGACAGATCGTCTAGAGAGAAAATCCATAAAGAAACCATGGTCTTGAATTACACTTTAAATAGACCAAATAGAAATACACACAACACTGTATCCAATAGCAACAAAATAGACATCCTTCTTAAGTGCACATAGAACATTCTCTAGGATAGCCCATATGTTAATGCACAAAACAAATCTTAACAAATTTAAGAGAATTGAAATCATATTAAGAATCTTTTGAGATCACAATGGCATGAAATCAGAAATCAATAACCTCCAGGATTACAGATATCTTGGAAAATACACAAATGTGTGGAAATGAAACAACATTCTCCTAAACAACCAATAGGTTAAAGAAGAAAGCAAATAGAAGATAAAAAATTACCATGAGACAAATGAAAATGTTAAGACAATATATCAAAACTTATGGGAGACAGCAAAAGCAATCTTAAGAGGGAAATTCATAGCAATGAACATCTATATCAAATAAAGTAAGGTTACAAATAATCTAATGTTACCACTCAAGAAACTAGAAATATAAGTATAAACTAAGCCCAGTGATAGCAGATGAGAGGAAATAACAAAACTCAGCACAGAAATAAATGAAATAGAGACTAGAAAAACAATAGAAAATGTCAACAAAACTAAGTTGGTGTTTTGAAAAGATAAACAAAGTTGACAAACCCATGGCTAGACTAGGAAAACAAGAGACTACTCAAATAAGATCAGAAGTGAAAGAGGAGACATTACAATATGCATTGCCTATATCTACTATAATAGACATATATACACACACAAATCAATATGTGATACACCACATTATTAAAGGATGAAAATCATATAATGATTTCAATACATGCAGAAACAACATTTGAAAAAACTCAACATCCTTTTATGATAAAATTCTTAACAAATTGGGTATAGGTATGGAGGGAATGTACCTCAGCACAATAAAGGTTACATATGACAAACCCTTAGCTAACATCATTCTCAATAGTAAAACACTGAAAGCTTTTCCTCTAGTGACAAGACAAGCATGCCTATTCTTACCACCTCTTTTCAATATAGTACTAGAAGTCCTAACTAGAGCAATTAGGCAAGAGGAAAAATTGAAGCCTAATAGGAAATGAAGAAGTGAAAATATCTCTATTTTCTGATGACATGATCTTATATGTAAATCCACCAAAAAATTATTAGAACTGATAAATGAACAGTAAAGTTGCAGAATACAAAATCAACATATAAAAGTCAGTAGCATTTTTATATACTAATAACAAATTAAAATGAAATTAACAAAACAATCCCATTTAAAATAGTAACAAAACACTAAATACTTAGGTGTACATTTAATGAGTAAGCAAAAGTCCTGTACACTGAAAACTATAAAACACATGAAAGAAATTGAAGAAAATACAAGTAAATGGAAAGATACCTCATGTTCACGGATTGGAATAGTTAATATTGTGAACGCGTCTATACTACCTGCAGCAATCTACAGATTCATTGTAATCCCTACAAAAATTCCAATGTCACTTTTTTCACATAAATGTAAAAAAATCCTTAAATTTGTATGAAACCACAAAAGACCCCACATACCTAAAACAATCTTGAGAAAAAAAATCAAAGTTGAAGGCATCATACTCTGTGATTTCAAGACACATTACAATTATAGTAATTTAATCAAAATATCATTGTACCGGCATAAAAATACGGGCATTGACCAATGCGCCAGGATCGAAGGCCCAACACATATGTTGTCAATTGATTTTTGACAAAGGTGTCAAGAACACACAACGGGGAAAGGGCATCTTCTTCAATAATCAGTGTTGGGAAAAACTGGAAATTAGATCCTTATCTCTCACCATGTGCAAAAATCAACTAAAGTGAATTAAGCACTTAAATATGAGACCCGAAACTGTAAAATGACTAGAAGAAAACATAAGGGAAAAACTTCGTGACATTGGTCATTCACATTTAATATTTTGCTATTACAAAAAGATGCTCCAAAAAGCATACTTACACATATTTTTTGTTCACAGGCACATGCATTAATCTAGATACATACTTATATCTAAGAAGTACTGGGTTACAAAATATGTAGATCTTCACCTTTACCAGATATTGCTTAATTTTTCTCAAAAATAGTTACAATAATTACAGTTCCACCAGAAATGCAGAGAACTCTCGTTTTACTACATCCTTCACTTATTATCAAGGGCTTACATTTTTGTCAATTTACAGAAACCTGCTTCCAAAGACCGAGGAAGCAGGGAGACTAAAGAGGCTGACCAATCCGTTTCTCAGAAAGAAACGCTTACTAGAGACAAACAGAAGCAACCCTTGCACTTGCTCTCCTGAAAGTATGCTTTATTTAGCAAGATATAGGGGTAAAAAGAAGTGCGACTAGTTAGCTCTCAGACTATTGTGATCACTGGGGACGTTAGATAAGCATCTTTATGAGGGATTATGTATGTATGTTATGAACATTGTTTAAAGACCTTTGCTGCAGAACACTTTGGTATGCAGTGGGTCAAACATCAGTTCCCAAGATAGTTTTGCTTCAAGTTGGTGTCACTCTTGCCACAAAACAGGTTGTTTTTCTGCACAGTCTAATGGATGTGACATATTATCTTGTCTTAACTTGCATTTTTCGGATGACTACAGAAAGTTTGGCTTGTTGTTCACATTTTTTCCATTTTTCTAGTGTGTCATTGTTCTTATTACCTCTTTGCATATTTTAGAAATACTTTATATTTTATAACTACGTTTTCCAAGTTTGTGCTTTAACTTTAATTTTCTTAGTTATTAGTCAATTTTTAATTAACTTTTTTTAATGTTTTTTGAAACTTCCGACCGCCAAAGTTGTGAACACATATTTCTATATTTTCTTATCAAAGTATAATATTTTGCCTTTCATATTTACATATTCACTTCACCTGGAGTTTATTTTTGTGTGTAATGCCAGGTAAAAAATTTTTCCTACGTGGATATCAATTATTTTGGCACCACAAGTTCATATTTACAAGGCTACTTGTCTATTTAATCATGCTCAAAACCAGCTCGACCCTTTCATGTCTTTCATCACATCCTTTATTGCTTACCTCTCACCACGCCCTTCTACAGTAGCATTATTTCCTTGTTAAACCAGACCATTCACTGCATTTACTCTTCTTGCAATATGCTAAAACTGTTCCTATTGTCTCTGAGTCATGTTTTCTGCCTTTTTTTCCTTACTAAATTTAAACCTCTTGTGAAAAAGACATTGTCCAATTTATGTTTTCACCTTTAATACCGAGCATTGATGTAGTAGGTTTTCAAATATTCTTGTTTTATTCTGAATTTAAGTTGGCCCTTATAGATGGGAAATTTCACCTAGTACGAGCTATATATATCCATATATTTAGGAACAATCACAACAGTTTTAATGAATAGGAACCAGTCATCTTTTCTGCCCTGGTGGATAGGCTACTTAGTGGTCGTCGGTGGATGGCGCTGACCGCGGTTGATCAAAGGAACTGACCCCGTTTGCAGGCGTGGCCTGGGCGTGCTCGCTTCGCAGTAGAAGCTGGGAGTTGGGCCAGTTCTGAGCCTAGTGATGCGCCTGTGTATGTGTTCACATCGCCGTCCAGTCTTCTTCACTTCCTACAGATGCCGGGACCCCCAAAACAGCAAGATGTGGACATTCACATTCGAAGACACAGGCTGTCCGTACAGCGAACGTTGTCACCATTCCCAGACATAGGGCCCCGACCTTCAAGTAGGCGGTGCGGTTGGCGCGCAGTTCTCAGGGGCCTTCTAGAATCTCCCGCCAGCCTCCCCGCTGCCTGGTTACCACACGCTGCCAGGGACACCCAACCTCCCCTCTCGAGGGCCCGGGTTGGCCGGCCCAGCTTTGTAGGGCTGATTGAAGGCCACATCGACATAACAGTTGAAAGGGAAGAACGCGGACACCACCCAGTACCCGCCCCAGGCGTTTCCAGAGTCTCCGGTTAGGTGACCCGTGGGGGTCGCGGTCGCGGACCGGGGACAGAGCAACGGGGCGGGCGCGCAGCGAGGGCCGCAGTCCCAGAGCCGCCCACCGCCGCCCCACGGCCGCCTAGCGCGCGCCGGGACTGCATTTCCCATAGGCCCGCGCTGCGGAGCACCGCCCACCCGAGCCCCACGCGAGTGCGCGGCCGCGAGGTGTCCCCGCCGCAGCCCCAGCCCGCCGGCCCGCAGAGCTTTTGAAAGGCGGCGGGAGGTGGCGAGCGCCATGGCGAGCCCGGGCCGCCTACTGTGCGTGCTGGGCCTGCTACTCTGCGGGGCGGCGAGCCTCCGGCTGTCCAGACCCCACGGTGACACCGCCAAGAAGCCCATCATCGGTAAGGAAGCTGTGCGGAGCCGCAGCATATGGGGAGGGGCTGGGTGTCGGCGCTGGGCGCCTCCCGCCGCCGCGCTCCAGCTGTCGCGTCCTGCCGGGGAAAAACCCCAGATGTGCTTGGCTTTTGGTGCAAGAAGGACCCCGGGCTGGGTACCATTTGGATCGTACTGAAATGTACCTAGCTGAAGTGTCTCGTTCATTCCTTTAGACTCATATGGCTCTTAAAGATGGGAGGGAGGAGGATGCACCGTGAAGAATCCTGCGGATTTTCTTTTTTTTGTACACAGCTAGGAATTTATACTAAAATAAAACATTTCTTTTTCGCACATAGTTGGGAATTTTTTACTCATTTACATCTACACGTGCGTGCATTACATTTGTCAAAATGTCTCAGGTTGAGGGCGTATTTAAAATACCAGTGCATTGTAATATAAAATCAAGAAATTAAGGTATAATTTGGATTTTGTCATGTTCAGTAGCAGAGGACAACAGTGGCTAATATCCTAATGTAGGTTCTATTTGATATTAAAATGCAGTACACAATTTTTCGTTTCCAACATATTTGTGTTTTAAAGAGATAGTAAAATCAGTCTGTGTTACCAAAACACACATTTGAGACAGGCCCAAGGAAGGCTACCTGGGAGAAATCATCCTGGGGTTAAAATTTGCCCAAATAAATTTGTGTGGAATTAAGATTAGTTTTATTTTGGCTGTAGGATTATGCCTTTCATACTATTTTTTTTTTCTATGAAGATTATCACTGTATTCTGTAACTAAACAGAAATTAGATGAATGTTTTTTCATATAGGTAGTGCCCAATTTTCAAATGGATGGCTTACTAATATTTGGAACTTATTTCATAGCTGTTTAACATGGTGATTTGATTCTCCACGAACTAACTCAAGCTGTAATTAATGTAACAGGTTGCATATTGTGTGTCCAGAGGAGAGAAAAAAAGCAGAGGGGATTGTTTTCCCTTACCTAGAATCAGGGGTAGCCCTGTGTCAAATATTTAAAAAAGGGACTTTGCTTTTGGTCACTGAGATCAGCACAGAATCGTTAACCGAGTACCGACTATGTACACAGTCTTGCTCTAGGAAGTGCAAAGGATTAAAAGATGACAAGGAAGCTACAAAAGTTATCAGATGGCCTTAAATTATTGGTGAAATTTTGGTCACATTTTGAGGGAGAGGGAGAACAGCTTGAGCTCTTTTCCCAGGGATGGGAAAAGTGAGTATGCTGGGCCCAGGGGAAGGGGAGATGTTGGTGGAACTCACTTTGATGTACTTCTCTTTCTGGTAACCCTTGTGCTCCCATGATGCCCCATGTCACCTTTGTGGTACCTCACTCCATGTACCCTGTACCACTCCATTTCCTATGACATTCCTAGTTCTTTGTTCCCTAGTCAAACTTTGTATTCCTTAGTAAAGATGATTTTACCTACCAGTAAGGACAAAAAGTCTTACGGAACAAATTTTGTCGTTTGATATGTTACCGGAATACCTGATGAATGCCAATTGTAAGAAGCTGGAAATACAAAAGTGAGTAATACAGACAACAGCTCTTCCTATCAGGTGGCCTACAGAGACACTGAAAGTGTTCCAAATGCTGAAGTGCTGAATAGTAGTAGGCACAGGTACTCACCCGACAGACGTGTTTTGATGTGTGCTGGTTGCTGTACTGTGCTGGGGCTGGGTTTCACTGGTAAAAGGAGGCCAGAGAGATGGGTGGGGCAGAGCACACAGGGTCTTACAGAGTTTATTAAAGTTTAGGGACCCACTGAGGTAGTTAAACAAGGTGGTGACACCTGCTTGCTGATCTGTCTCTCCCTGATCTCCTTTCCTATTGCTTTCTGCCTTCACTCACCTGGCTCTAGTAACATGGATTCCTTGCAATGTGACAGGCACCTTCCTGACTCCTGGCTGTTTCTCTTGCCATTCCTTTTTCCTGGATTCCTCTTTTCCCAGATATGTGAATATGGTTTACTCTGTCACCTCTCTGGAGTCCTGGCTCAAATGTCATGTTTTACCTTCTCAAGGAGGACTTGCCTGGCCACCATATTGAAGACACTGTCCTTTCCTCCACAGATGGGATCTCCTTCCCCACCTTCTTTCTCTCCTTAGTGCCTACGACCAGCCACTCTATATATTATGCCTTTTTATCTTGTTTATTGTTTGGCCTCTCTCCCCTCCCTGATACATATTTGATTTAATACACACAGGGTAGGGGTTTTTGTTTGGTTCTCTCATATTCATGTGTCCCCAGCACCTAGTTTGTTGCCTGGCATGAGGTATGATTCAACAGTATATATTGAATGACTGTAGGAATAGGAATGGTGATGTGATCCGATTTGCTTCTACGCGGGGAGCTGCTTGGAGCTTGAGGGATTTCTTAAGAAAAGATGTAAGAAGACCTTCTAAGAGTCTATTATCATAGTGCAGTGGGGAGAGGAGAGATATTGATAGTTTGGGCTAAAGTAATGTTGGAGAGGTGTGGATGGAAGATGTTTTCACTCCTTTGCTTCATTGTCAGGGAATCAGTGTGTCTGTGAGTATGTGTGGGAAAGGAGCGACAGTCTTGTAGATTTAAGGATCTGTATTCTTTAGATGGATTCTAGGTCTACAGTTGTGTGAAGGCTGCATGTGCTACTGTAGTCCTTCTTTGGGGGCTTATTTGGCTTCCCTGATGTGGTGAGAGATGGATCTACTTGAAACCAAGATTAGCCTCCTCTGCTTCTTTCCCACAGCCTGTGGGGGGACTTGGAGGAGAAACTTCCTATTTAATTCTGTGAATTGAAATAATAAAATATGATATTTTTGCTGTGATAGATTTCAGTTTCTGAGCAAGAAGAAATTTGCTTGAAACTAAACTTTTTTTTTTTGTTATTAGGAATATTAATGCAAAAATGCCGCAATAAAGTCATGAAAAACTATGGAAGATACTATATTGCTGCATCCTATGTAAAGTATTTGGAGTCTGCAGGTGCAAGAGTTGTACCAGTAAGGTATGGTTCAGTGTTTTTTTAAATTTTACTCTGTAAAGAAATTGCTGCATATGGCCGGGTGCGGTGCCTCATGCCTATAATCCCAGCAATTCGGGAGGCCGAGGCGGGTGGACTACCTGAGGTCAGGAGTTCGAGACCAGCCTGGCCAACCTGGTGAAACCCTGTCTCTACTAAAAATACAACAATTAGCTGAATGCAGTGGTGCACATCTGTAATCCCAGCTACTGGGGAGGCTGAGGAAGGAGAATCGCTTGAACCAGGGAGGTGGAGGTTGCAGTGAGTTGAGATTGTACCACTGCACTCCAGTTTGAGCAACAGAGCAAGACTCCGTCTCAAAAAAATAATAATTACTGCATAATATCTCTAAAATTAGTGCTTTCTCTTTATGATTACATCGTTTAAATGCAGTAACATTGAACCTGATTTTTGCCACAAACATGTTGCTTAGAGTCTCTCATTGAATTGTTCAGTGTGGGAAGCTGTGTGTTACCTGTAACGTCATTAGAGGTACTGTATGTCATATGCATTAGCATCAAGAATGAAATGATAGTTTCCTTTACCCCAGAAAAGGTGGTCCTCACAGATACTATGAAGGTAATGGAGTAAAAGAATCTAAAATTTATGCAAACTCAGAGTGGGAAAGGGTGGTTGTGGGGGTGTGAGATAAAAAATTACATATTTGGTACACTGTACATTACTTGGGTGACTGGTGCATTGAAATCTCAGACTTCACCACTATACAATTAATCCATGTAACCAAAAACCAATTTTACCCTAAAGGCCATTGAAAAAAAATTTTTTTTAAAAATCTACAGTTTAACCAGCTTTATTTTATAATATTAGGATAAGAGAACACTTAGGGAATGAAGGAGGTTTTTAGAAAATGACTTTTAAAATACCTTCACACTCTACTTTAAAAGTTTGTAAATTACTAATGCATTAGAGTTGCTTCAGTGTAGATTATAGGTATTGCAGTTTTAAAGGCACTACATTATTTTTGTGATAAAATGTTCCTATAAGAATGAGATGATTCATCGCATATTTTCATTTAGAACTGAATTCTTCCCATATTTTTCATTTGCAAGGAGCTAACAACCAGAATCTTATATGTATTTATAATATCTTGTCAGCTAAAATTAATGTATTTTATAATCTTCCAGCACCCTCATCTAATCCATTTTGAGTGATTTCACACACAAAACACTATTTATTCTATACAGCCTGTTTCTGTAAATAATTTCTCATCAAAAATTATAACAAAAGTACTGTTCAAATATACTACTACTAATAAAGCCAATATTACAATTTAGAGAATTGTACCACAAAATGGCTTTAGGTTTAGATTTATGAGAATTGTTTTCTCGTATGATCTTTTACATTTATATTAAGTTTCTACACCAAGATTACCATTTGCTTTTGATATTAGTCTTTCATATTTTAGTAGCATACCTAATTTTACAAATGACATTTTATTTGAAACCCATGTAACATCAGAGTTTTAGAGCTGGGTAAGAGGCTCTAGAGAGTCTTCAGAACAGTGTTTCCAAGTTTTCATCAAGGAAGCTTTTAAATGCAGACTGTTCTAGGATGTTAGCACTGACCATGTGCATGGGAGATAGGAGAGACAAAAGGCAGAACAGCCATAAAAAAGAATGAAATCACATCCTTTGCTGTGATGTGGATGCAGCTGGAGGCCTAAGTGAATTAATGCAGAAACAGAAAACCAAATGCCGTATGTTTTCACTTATAAGTGGGAGCTAAACATTAGGTACACATGGACACAAGGATGGCAGCAATAGATACTGAAGGCTACTAGAGGAGGAGGGGGATAAGGGCTGAAAACTTACCTGTTGGATACTGGACTCACTACCTGGGTGACAGGATCTTTTGTACCCCAAACCTCAGCATCACACAGTATACCCATGTAACAAATCTGCACACATACCCTCTGAATCTAAAATAAAAGTTGAAATTATACAAAATAAATGAAGTAAAATCATAAATGAAAGAGGAGACATTACAACTAATGCTACAGAAATAAAAAGGTTCATAAAGACTGCTTACAAGAAACTGTATGCCAACAACATGTGTAACCTAGAAGAAATGAATAAATTGCTAGAAACACACAGTCTACAAAGACTGAATCATAAAGAAACAGGAAACAAACCTGTCACTGGTGAAGAGATTGAAATGGTAATCAGTAGCCTCTCAACACAGAAAAGCCCAAGACCAGCTGGCTTCACTGGTGAATTCTACCAAACATCTAAAGCAGAATTAATACCAGCCCTTCTCACACTCATCCAAACAATTGAAGACAGTACAATTCCAAGAATGAACCCCAATGTAAACTAGGATTTGGGCAATTATGATGTGTCACTGTGTTTTTATCAACAGTTAAAATGTACCACCCAAGATGTTAATGGAGGAAGCTATGCATCTTTTGGGGCAAGGGTTGTATAGGAAATCCTTAACCTTCCCTTAATTTTGCTGTGAACCTGAAATTACTCTAAAAAATAAAGTCTTTAAAAAAATAAAACAAAATGCCTTAAGGCAGGTAGACCAGTTTAGAGGTAGTTGCAGTAGGCTAGGTGTGAAGTGTTGAGGGCTTGGCTTAGACCGGTGGTGTGGGAATGATAGGTAAGTGTTGTTTAAAAAAAAAATCACCAATATATGATGACTAATAAAAGGGCACAGGGAAGAAAAAATAGATAAGGATGATGGAAGTTTTGAAATCATGGGAGTTTTGAAACTGAATGACTTTGCCGAATATTGGTATTTATGAGAGATGCTGAGAACGTGACTGTCAGCATATAGGTTAATTTCCAGCTTGGGTTCTCAGAGTTCATTTAAGGTATATTGTTGGAATCATGAGATCCTGTAGAAACAGTGTAATACATAGGGGCTAAGTTCACAGACTAGCCTGCAAAGGATTATCTGATGCAAAATAAGACTGAAATGATCATGATGATGTTAGGTTCATTTCTGAATTTTGGATGCTAGGAGTCAACTTCTGTGGTTTAGAAGTGAAAAGGAAGAGATGGGAGACCTGGGAAGCATTCTGAAATAGGTCAAGAAATTTGTCTTTGGTTTCCTTCTGCCTTCTTCCTGCCACCTTCTCTCTCAGGTGCTTGGTGCTCTCAGGTTGTCATAAATTCCCAGTGTGGGACTAGTGGAAAACAGAATGTCCTGCTTCCTCAGAGGTAGCATACAACAGCCCATGGGCTGCAGCTTTTGGTTTAAAAATGTGTGTTGTTCACACCGCGTTTTAAAACACAAATCAGGCTGGGCACGGTGGCTCAGGTCTATTATCCCAGCAATTTGGGAGGCCGAGGTGGGAAGATCACTTACACTCATGAGTTTGAGACCAGCTTGGGCAACATGGAAAAACCCCTATTTATAAAAAAATTTTTAAAAAGCCGGGAGTGGTGGCGTGCACCTATTGGCCCAGCTATTCAGGAGGCTGAGGTGGGAAAATCACTTGAACCCAGGAGGTGGAGGTTGCAGTGAGCTGAGATGGCGCTACTGCACTCCAGCCTGGGTGACAGAGCCGGACCTTTCTCAAAAAAAAAACCCAAAGACCACAAATCAGACTTTATAAGAGTCTGAATTTTTGGTTTTTTTGAAGACAGTTATTTGGATTGGGTTTTAAATGGGGCAAACACTCCCCATTGGCAACAGTGCTTTGCCATCCTTTTCATGCTGCTAAAACTGTGTCATTTGCCATCATCACCAGGCTTAAGCCATTTCCTTATAGTTAAGGAGAGAATAAACTGTTTCTCATACCTTGTTGAAAGGGTCTTTTGTTTCAGGAAATGTCTGACAATGTGCAACTTACAGTTATATTCTTTGCCAGGGCCCTTAGGCACCAGAGTTGTGACATGGCACACTCCTTCCCCTGTGACAATTAAGCCTCTTAATAGTGATAAGTGGGGACCAAAACTATAGTCATGGACAATGTGGGAGCCATTTATTTAGAATTAATGAAATGACTGAAACTAGCTTGCACTGCTAGCTGGCAGGAGTCCTTGGAGTGCAGCTGTGTGATCTAAATCCATTTTGGTCCCTGATGGTAGTGGTTGCCCATTCTGGTTTAAATATCCATGGGGAGAATTCTGGGTCCTGACTGGTTGGTTCCTTTTTATTGCCACAATCTGGGGAGATTAGATTGGCAGAATACTGGGTACATGTAGATTCATATTTCACCTCCCTGTCACTTCCCAAGGCAGGGCTACCTGTCAGTATTTCTCCACTTAAGACCATGGTAAGCACCATTCTGGTATTACCCATTGCTTTTGTGGCCCTCTGCCAGGAAGAGATTACTATGAACTTGTGAAAGACAGACCTGGACTTGCAAAGCTTGTTTGGACTTGAGAGTAGATCCCAAAGTTGTTTGCTGGCAAAACACAGCCTGTGTTCTGGATATCACAGGTGTCTAGTTAATAATCGGTGTGAGGGATCTCACCTCCCCCAAAAACTTCTTTGAGGGCAGAAATGGACTAGTTGACATCTAGTCATAAGTCTACTTCCTTTAGGGCAGGTTGAGAGGACAGGTACCATTTATTCTCTCGCAGAAACCAAAGTCTGCTAAATGTGGGAGAGTTCTTGCAAGGATTTCACCGACTTGGTGCTCTCTTCCCTTATTGTTGCATTTTATTGAACTTTTGGGAGAGCAAATGTCTTACTGTGACTTAGTAAATGTTGTCGCCGTATGTCACAGATTAATCCCATCTTTTTTTTCTGGAGAAAGGGAATAAAGTCACCAATAATATGGCAATTGTTAGGAGGCCCTTAAGGGGTGTTTGATCAAGGGTCTTTCAGAGTAATTACCTGGGCGTTTAGGCTGTTCTACAGTCATCTCTCTGTAGTCTGTCAATTCAGACTAGATCTGAACCGTCCTGACTTTGAAATGCAGAGTAGTCCCTAGACTCTTGCAACTAGTTTGTTGAGGTAAGATGAAGCAGAGACTTGACATTTATTTATATATTTTTTTCATCTGCCAGAGCTGCCTGTAGTTAAATAGGAATGATAAATAAAGTTACTTAAAGGAGTCTTTACATAAAACTACTGACTATTCTTACATTTCTTTTTGTAGTTTTTGGTTAGTAGAGAAATTACTGGTGCCTAAATCTCACAGTCTTTAATGTTTTGCATACTAAAACATACTTCACAATATTAAATTACGTTAGATCACAGAAAAGCATATTTACTTGTCTGATTAGCAAAACAAGGATAGAATTATGTGGCTTTCAAGTGGTTTGCAAAAATGCCTCTAGGAAAGTAGATAATATTGTCTAGTAATTAAAAATTAGTTTTTATTTGGCTTTTTAAAAGTAATGTGACTTCGTTTAGAGGTTTACTTGTAAGTTTCACAAATATAACAATAACTGTTTTTATTGTTTTCAGGCTGGATCTTACAGAGAAAGACTATGAAATACTTTTCAAATCTATTAATGGGTAAGTTGGCAGCATTGGTTTGATGCGGTATATGAGTGGTCTACATATATGTCTGCTTTTGTGAAGGAAATCATACAAATATTATACATGTTTCTTTGTAACTATCTTAGAGTGGTATAGTATTTTCTGAGTTCTTTTATAGGATATATTTTCTTGGGAGATGCAAAAGTTCTTCAAAAGAGGAAGAGGCAGGTTAGAAAATGTATAATTGTTACATAGTAGACACATAATTTTTTTAAACGTGTGACTTAATCTTTGTTCTTTTAATGCTTGTCTTAAATGTTTGAAGCTACCTTGAATGGCATGGCATACTGCTTGCATATGGAGTTTATAAGTCCAAAGTCTGAGGATGTTGATTTTTTTTTTTTTTCGGGTATATTGGAAAAAACCGTTCTGTTCTCTGGTTTCACCACAAAAGATATGTTAGCTCACAGAACAAGACTTCTAATCATATGAAAAAAAAAATGTCCACCATTACTCTTAATTTTAGGAAAGAAGGCTAATTACAGCAGTCAAAAACATTTAATTACCAAGTTGGCAGAGATCAGAAAATTTGCTTATACTCTATAGGGCCTGTGAGGAAACAGGCATGCCCATACTTTATTAGAGGAAATGTAAATCATGTAGTCTATTTTGGGATAATGTTGCAATACCTATTGAAATTAGAAGTACATACACCCTTTGACCTGGGAACTTGAGGAGGAATTTTATTTTATAAGTATATTCCACATTGCATGAAGACTTAGACTCAAATATATGCATTGTATTAGTAGTATTGTCTGACTGTCACCCAGTAGTCCATCAGGTGAGAATTGGTGAAATAAAACAGACTATGTACATTTAATAGAATACTATGCAGGAATTAAAAAATGAGGTTATCTGTAGATGCTGACTTGGATCACCATTGTCCCCCATGTGAAAAAGGCAAGGCATGTGATGGTGTGTATAGCATACACCCCGTTTGCTTTTTGTTAAAAGTCAGAGTGAAGAGATATGCATATTTCTACAAATCAACACAGCAGATTTTAATGGCAGTCATTTCTGATTGAGAATAGGGTGGGAGGAAGTATTTTACTGTAAAACGTTTTTTAAAAAGAGCTTTATTATTTTTACTTCTAAAACCATGTTAATTTATTGTTTCTTTTAAAAAGCCATGTTTACAAACACCGCATGTTCTCACTCATAGGTGGGAACTGAACAATGAGATCACTTGGACTCGGGAAGGGGAACATCACACACTGGGGCCTATTATGGGGAGGGGGGAGGGGGGAGGGGGGAGGGGGGAGGGATTGCATTGGGAGTTATACCTGATATAAATGACGAGTTGATGGGTGCTGATGAGTTGATGGGTGCAGCACACCAACATGGCACAAGTATACATATGTAACAAACCTGCACGTTGTACACATGTACCCTAGAACTTAAAGTATAATAATTAAAAAAAAAAAGCCATGTTTAGAAAATTATTTGCTTTCAGTTCAGTTTGGTTCAGTAAATATTTACTGTAAAATCATTTCAATTTAGTAAAACATTTACAATGCCCAGTATGTGCTGTGTGCAAGGTACTTTGGCATGGACAAAGATCATTAAGTCTAGGCTAGAATGTAATAGTAGAACCTCAAAAATAGACCTTTTGAATCACTTCATTTTCTTCCCACCCTCTCCCCAATTGCATTCCTGTTTGGAGAGGAATCTGAAATCAAGTAGCAGTGTAGACAGTAATACATACTTTTGGGAGCTAGCCTGTCCATTTGATCAGTATGTCTTCACGCAAACCACCAAAATGAGTCCATTTTCTATCTTCCTCACTTGCTTTCTGCATTGCCACTAATTCTTGCTCCTGTAGGCCCCCTTTCTCTCTCATGTAGTCACTGAAAGCTGCACTCCAAAGTGGGTTAAATTGGGGGCCTTATTTATATCTCGGAGTGTCACCAGAAAATGAGCTGTATTCTAATGTGACTTCAAAAGCACCTTTATTGAGTCACTATTATGCATTGGACCCCATAGTATTTTGCAGGGGGAATAACAGAGATGAAAAGACAGAGCCATGCCTTAAGGAGTTTGTCATATAGGAGGGACAGTCAGGTTTTGCTGCATGAAAGGACTTTGGGGTTAGACATACCATATTTGATCAGAGGCAGCTTTTTAAATACTAAGTTAATGTCTGTAAGCTGGAGACCTGGGATGCAAAACATAAAAATTAAAAAATACTGAGTTAATGGAAAGAGAGAACGCTAATGAGTCCTCCCTAAGCCACTTTTAATTGTGGGATTTTCTGCTTGGGTTTGTGGTAGATATTCTCCCACACAGATGCTTATATATTTTCTACCAGACTGTGATCTTTCTAACAGCAAAACCACTCATGTTTGTCTCTCTAGGCAAGTCCTGAGTCTAGCTCGTGGAAGAAACAGAATATATTTCTTGAATAACAACAATCTCACAAGTGATATTTCACATACCTCAAACTTGTATTTAAATATTTTCAAAATTTTAATATGTTTAATACCATTTTTCTTACCTCTTTTGAATATCCTTGGTTCTTTCAAGACGTTGCTATAAATTATAAATTTAAAAGTTTAATTTTAAAAGTTGATATAAAAACATGAAAATAGTTTTCTATATTTCACCTTTATAAGTGTGTAAAAGAATATCAAATATTTTTGATTGCCTCCTTTTCCTAGACTTTTTGTAGGATCATAATTATGTTTCTTGAAAAAAATGTTCTAATACCATGTGTATTTCTGAAGAGACTCAGGGTGATAAGAATTAAGTTCTTGTAGAAATTTAATTCCAGCTTAAATATCTTTTTTATGACCAGCTTGTTCTTTATAGTTAAATTATTTGTGAGCTAAGTCCTACCCACCTGCAATTGATTTGGCATGACAGATCACCTTCTTTTAAACCTGGCTAAACCTGGAATTTTGTCCGTCTTTGATATCTAGCTCTGTGTACTCTTGCCCCTCCCCTACTTATTTACTTTTAATTTTCCCACACTCTATTTCATCAAATAAACTTTTTGAAGAGGTTTTTGGAAAATATTCTCTAAAGTGTTGTTAACTGCTGTAGTTTCTGAATGGCTGGGATTGTAAATATTTTATAATTTCTTTTTTGTTTTTCTAATTTTCTTCAAGGATCTTATTGCATATGTAATAAGAAAAATTGTTTTAAAATAAAAAGATTGTTTTCTGTGTGTGTATGGGTCAGGGGTGGCAAAATACACCCTATCTGATTTATGTGACGTTGTTTCAGAATCCTTTTCCCTGGAGGAAGTGTTGACCTGAGGCGCTCAGATTATGCTAAAGTGGCCAAAATATTTTACGACTTGTCCATACAGGTAATTATCAGTTATTGCTTGTTATTCCAGATGGATTTTTGTAAGTTTTGTAAGTTTTAGTGAGAGTAGTTCTTGTTTTAAGCAGATGGTAATGCTCCCTTCAAAATTACCCTTAGCCTCATCATACCTTTTAACCTTGAGGCACCTGTTCTTGGCTGCGCCCAAATAAAAGTGTTTTCCATGTGCTTCATCTAATCCTGGGCTTCCAGAGACCCTTCAGAGCCCTGCTGACTGGTCCTCTCTTGATGCTTGTTAATGTGAACCATGTCCTCATGTGGTGTAGACATTCTGATGTCTCTCTCTGTCCTCTTATTTTATTTTTTTGCGGCATTGTTTTTATGTTATTAATTCTCACTTCTTGAAATCTGTTCTTCTTCCCAACTCATTCAATCCTATTTGAACTTTCTTCACAGTTACCGTAGACTCCATGTTCATTTACCAAGCAGAGCTTCTGAGCCTCTGACTTCTCCTTTGTAATGGTCACAGTGGGACTGCCTTTGTACCATAGCTCACACCCTTACTGTTTCTCTCCTCAACTATTAACAGTGATTTTTAAATTAATCTTGCTAGCCCTAGTATCTTACCAATCCCCACTTAAATATTTCCCTAAATAAGTGTTTTTAGCCTTTGAAATACTTGTTTCAAACTTTTAATAGCTAAGGTCAGTAATCTGTAGGCTTTTATAGTCTTTGGGTCAAGATATACAGTGTGTCCACAGCTCATGTTTTCCAGCCTGTGTGGGAGCTCGGTCTGAAGAGAGAGTAAGTGATAGCCTACTTATGGATCCTGGAGAATGCTTCAGAAATCCATGTGTAACTCAGGTGCCTGTTTGGTAATGACAAAAGATATGGCTAATTTTTATTTTGAAAAGTTTGAATAAACTTAGTTTTCTCTTTTTCTACTTGCAAAGAGTTTTCACGATGGAGACTATTTTCCTGTGTGGGGCACATGCCTTGGATTTGAAGAGCTTTCACTACTGATTAGTGGAGAGTTCTTATTAACTGTCACAAATACTGTTGACGTGGCAATGCCGCTGAACTTCACTGGAGGTAAGAGTACTCTTTCAACCCTCTAAAAAGTATTTGCTGGGCAGGATTAGTAAGTAGCAAATATGAAAGTAAAAGTGCTTATTTTTATTTTCTTTTTAGCCTTTTCCCTGAAGAAAAAAATGCTTACAACATTAGCATTTAATTTATTTACATAGGTTGAAGATGTGAATTACCATCCTTATACTCATTGATGAGGATGACTTAAGGAATTGTGAATTTTAATAACTCATTGCTTCTAGTGATATCAGGACTGTGTGTGATGAAGAACTCTGAAATGGAATCTGGTTTTGAGTCCTAGTTTTCTCACTTTGACCTTGAGGAATCATTTTTACCTCTGAGGTTCAGTGTCCTCATTTGCAAAAGGGTCTAACGCTTAGGGGTTTTTTGTGTGTGAGAATTAAATAAGTTTTTTTTTTTTTTTTTTTTTTAAGACAGAGTCTGTCACTCTGGAGCGCAGTGACGCAATCTTGGCTCACAGCAACCTCCACCTCCAGGGTTCAAGGGATTCTCCTGCCTCAGCCTCCTGAGTGGCTGGGACTACAGGCGCCCCACCACACCTGGCTGAATTTTGTGTTTTTAGTAGAGACAAGGTTTCACCATGTTGGCCAGGCTGGTCTCAAACTCCTGACCTCTGGTGATCCGCCCACCTTGGCCTCCCAAAGTGCTGGGATTAGAGGATCCACCGGGAAGCGCTGTATTTACTCAGCAACCAGGAACTCCAGTGAGTTTTGGTGTCTAGAGTTTTTACTGGAATGTTGTTATGAAATAATTGATTGAATCATTGCCTATGTGACTGAACTCAAATCTCCAGCCCCTCTTTCATACTTGGAGATTGATTGGGCTGGCTCGAAGTTTCAACTTTCTGATCATGAAGTTAGTGTTTCTAATGATTAGTCTTCATCCTGAAATATTTGAGGGACCCACCTTGAATTACCACATTAGCATAACAAAAATACTTTTATCACTCCAGGAATTCTAAGGGTTTTAGAAGCTTCCTGTCAGGAACCCAGGACGAAGACCAGAAAGATTCTTAATGATACCACTCTGTATAAGTAGATAATGATTGTTGTTGGTTACTTGATCTCTGAATGCTTAGAATTGAAGCCACCAGCTATTTCTGTTCTCTTGAGGATTTTGCAAGGAAAGTAGCAGTCATACTTAAAACCTATAGAATGCTTTATGCTTTTGAAAGCTCTTTCTTCCATTGTCTCACTTAATAATTGCAAAAACCCAGTGGGAAGTACATGTATTAGGTCAGAGTACTTTGGTTCTGTTGCCAGAACCCAGTTTATACAGAAAAGGAATGTTTCAGGGAGCTGCGATTTTCATGGAAGTCTCTAGCAAGAATAAGGGGCCTGGTTTGCAACAGCTGGCACTATCACCTTGAAAACGTCAGTTTCTTTTTTTCAAAATCTGTTTGTTGGTGTTTGAGTCTGTGCAGCACCTTCAGTGTTGACCACTAAGATATATTGCTTTTTGATCTGTTTACTGAGTCAAAATTTCTTGGCTTGGTTCGTGTTCTTTTCTACATTGTTTTTATTTTTATTTGTTTGTCCCAGATACTTCTGAAAATATGTTGAAAGTTTTGGATCCTTTCCTGGGCAAATACGTACACCCATGGAAAGTTTTAACTGTTTTTCAGAATAGTCTGTGGAAATCTAGTTAAGATTCCCTGCCTGTTCTATAGCTTGCCAATACTCATATCAGAAGAATTTTACTTATTCATGTTAAAATTCTAGAAGAAAATTACTTATATCTGGAGCATATTTGAGTTTATGTTAAACACATTTTGTAACTTGATTAGAATACTTCTATGGAAATGATGCGTTTTGCTTATCATTTAGTCATCTTGATTATATCTTCATAATGGCTTCTCTTTGGGTGCAGATAAGCGATTTCAGTGGATTTTATTTTTTGTGTGTTTAAATTATTTCTCTTGTACTTAAATTATTTCAGGTCAATTACACAGCAGAATGTTCCAGAATTTTCCTACCGAGTTGTTGCTGTCGTTAGCAGTAGAACCTCTGACTGCCAATTTCCATAAGTGGAGCCTCTCCATGAAGGTATCACACTAATTACACAATGAAATTAATATGTTTAGAATAACTGCAGAAGTAATCATTTTGTTTTGTTTTCGTATTCTAGAATTTTACGATGAATGAAAAGTTAAAGAAGTTTTTCAGTGTCTTAACTACAAATACAGATGGCGAGATTGAGTTTATTTCATCAATGGAAGGTATATCACTATAGCATGTACACTTTATTTCATTTATTTTATATTTTTGAGTTTTGATTTTGTATGTCTTAAAATCATGTTACTTTGGGGCCTGAAGATGGATGTTAGGGCATTTTCGGAGACAGGAGACGTGTTTTGTCCGTGTTTCAAATTAATTGCAGTTTTCCTGGGTATTTTCCTGAATGAAGTGGTGAAGAAGAAACGTAAAAGAATAAAGGGGGTGGAGATGAAGAAAGAAATGAAGAAAATGACTTCTGTTTCTGGCAATATTGCAGATTAAATAACTTGATAGACTTTCCTCCAGCCAACAACAAAATAAATGTGGGTGATAATAGAAAAACATAGTAAATACGCTGATGAATTGGCAAACAAATAAAGATACTCAGGTTCAAAATTTTAAGAGTTGAATGGAATATTTAAACCAGTGTTGTTATTGAATCAGGAGAACTTGAGACAGTCAGGACCCTCTACATGGAGCAGGACTTGGAAGGCTATACCTGCAATGTCAGGCTGAACTCAAAATACAGCTGGAATCCGCCCTACAGAATGGCAAGGAGAATAGCCCATCCTGAGCCTTGGGGCTAAGGGAGTGGGGTGGGGGTCAGTGAATAAAGCCTTGAATGTTTATAATGATGGGCTGTTCTCCTAGTGTGGCCAGCATTATACTAACTGGGAAGTTGGACAAATCTTAAGTAATTTTGTTCAGGGTTGTCTCAGACTGGTAATGCCCTCACATGTGACGCTGAAGCAAATGTAAATAATTATTTTGAGAGGACCAGAGGTTCATCCCAGGCTTCACGGAATTTCCATATATGAAGTTTGAAGGAAAATGAACACTTCACAGCCAAAATACTACTAATGTACAAGCAAGCAAAGTACTGTGAATGAGAACTTGCAGAGATAACAGATGTGGAAGCAGACCTGCATAAATGTTAGATATTAGTATTATGAGATAAAGTATAATATATTTTAAGTTTTAAAGAAAGAAATAAGAATGCTTGCAAATATAGGCATGAAACAGTCAGATTTGAAAATAACCAAATTCAGCTATTAGAAATTATAGTTGAGGCTAGGTGTGGTGGCTCACACCTGTAATCCCAGCACTTTGAGAGGCCGAGGCGGATCACCTGAGGTCAGAAGTTCAAGACCAGCCTGGCCAACGTGGTGAAATCCCATCTCTACTAAAAATACAAAAAAAAAAAAAAAAGCCGAGCATAGTGGCACGTGCCTGTAGTCCCCTACTTGGAGGTTGCAGTGAGTCGAGACTATGCCACTGCACTCCAGCCTGGATGACAGAGCGAGACTCTGTTTCCAAAAAAAAAAGAAGAAATTGTAATTGAAATAAAACCCTCAGTAGACATGTTAATCAGAAGGTTAGACACAGTTGAGGAGAAATTAATGAACTAGAATAGAAGATAGATGTGAAGGAAACATTCAGAATCCAACATAGCCAGACATGTAAACGTAAATGCCAAATGTGTCAGAAGAAAGGTGGGAATCTGGAGGGTAAAGTGATTTCTTACATACCTAACCAGAACTCTTGAAGGAATGGGAAAAAGTAGGGCAGAGACAGACTCTTTTTTCTGTGTTTAAAAAAAAAAAATTCAGGTGGATAAAAGACCTAAGGAGAAAGGCACACTACAATAAGGTTTTAGAAAAAGTAAAGGAGAATTGTCTTTATGATCTTGTTTAAGGGAAGGAGTTTTGAAGACAAAATATAAACAAACCATAAAGGAAAAGATTGATGAATTCAATCAAATGAGGAAGTTGTGTTCATAAAAGGAAACAAATTACACAAGAAAAAAAGGGGAGGTATTTGTAATGCATATAACTGACAAAAGTTGTGCGTCTAGCTTACATACAGTAAAGCTATGTAATTTAAGAAGAAAAGATAACTTATGAAAAATGGATATGAGGGCTGGGCATGGTAGCTCACGCCTGTAATCCCAGAACTTTCAGAGACCAAGGCGGCAGATCGCTTGAGGTCAGGAGTTTGAGACCAGCGTGATCAACCTAGTGAAACTGTGTCTCTACTAAAAATACAAAAATTAGCCAGGCGTGGTGGCACACACTTGTAATCCCAGCTACTTGGGAGGCTGAGGCAGGAGAATTCCTTGAACCTAGCGGGCGGAGGTTTCAGTAAGCTGAGATTGCACCACTGCACTCCAGCCTGGGCGACAGAGTGAGACTCAGCCTCAAAAAAAAAAAAAAAAAACAAAAAAGGATATGATATTTGAATAGATACCATACCAGAGAAACTTGTCCACTTATGGCTTGGTGAGATAAGTTGCTCAGTGTAATTACAGGGAATTAATTCATGATCAGGGAATGCAAATGGAAACCAAAGTAAAAACCATTTTATACCCATCAGATTGGCAAAATTAAGAAGCCTGCTGATAACTAGTGTTACCCAGGATGTGGCACAGCAGGTGCTTTCATGCACTTATGATTGGAAAACATTTTGGCATTTCTTAGTAAAATCAAACATTTTCCAGTTTTGTTACCTGGCAGTTTTATTTATTGGTTAAAAAATACCTTAATTAAATAATTTCATGTATGTAGAAATGTACGTGACATTATGTTCATACCAGCAAAAAAATGGGAAACCACTCAAAAGTCCAATAGTGCAAAGGATAAGTAATACTACATAGCTATTAAAATCAGTGAGCACACTGGCGTGTACCACTGAATGAATTATGAAGACAATTTTGAGTTGAAGCAAGTCCCAAGGGAATGCTGTATATTTTCATTTATATGATGATTAAAATTTGGCAAAAAAGAAACAATGTATTGTTTGGTGCTAAATTTAAGGCAAGGATGGGGTGATGAATAAATATGAGAGCTGAAGGGGTGGGAAGGACAGTAGAAGGGCTTTGGAAGTATTGGTCATGTTTCCTCCTCCCAATCCAGCAGACCTCACTACATCAGCATTAACCACCTGCTACCTGGATTGCTGCAGCAGCAGCCTCCTAAGGCTTCCACAAACCCATCTTCTTCCAGCCACCCATTCGTGGTCTGCTGAAGTACCAGTCTGATAGCATTGCCTGAACAAAACTCCTCAGTGGCTCCTCTGCATGGGAGGATGAAGTCTAGATTTATGAGCTCACTTCCTCCACGCCCTCTCTCTGCCTTCACCTCTAGCTTGTACCCTGCTAGAGTAGCATGACCCTGCTACACACAGCCCTTCCACAGAGCCATGCTTCTTGGCTCTGCGCTCCTCATGTGCTTTCCTCTTCTCTGAAAAGCTCCCGCTTTCCCCTATCTGTTTCTCCTGATGAACTCTTAGCCATCTTGAAAAACCCAGGCCACTTGTCATCCCTAGAGGCCTTCTCTACCATCATTCCTCTTCTCTACAACCTTGGTGCTTTGTGCTATGTGGGAATGTTTCCTAAGAGCATGTATTTGCTCTTGTTCTACCATCCCTCTAGATGAAGAGCTCTTTGAGATCAGGAACTGTATCTTACTCTCCTTTGTGTTTCCAGGGCTTTATGTAAACCTCATAGATGTTGAATGAATGCCTACTTATTTAAATGATAGAATATTGGGTTAGAAGTTAGGGAATCAGGTTCCATGTTGGTTCTGCTTTTGACTATGCCATACCAGGCTCATTTGAAAATTTTCTCCCACCTCCAAAATAGGAACACTTGAGATGCTTTATTATTTGCATATTTTCTTTCCACTCTTGATACTTTTGTCTAAATCAGTGAGGCAGGGTATGATTCCTCATATTCAGGAAACTGCACTGGTCTTTTAGTAATGCAGTTTACTAAAGAAGAGTAAATCTCACTTGTTACTGAATGTCGGTGACTTCAAAAAGTTTATGGGAAAAATTGAATTAAAATATAAAAATAAAAACTATAAACTTTGTTTCTCAAGCTCTATCAAGTTTAAGACGTTTTTGCCCATGATGATACCAGCCTTTTAGTTCATCCCTAAAGAACTGAGGGTCCTGTGAATTGAACCATGTCAAATGCAGTCTTTTTTACATTCTTAACAGAAATGAGTGCCCTTTAAAGACTTTTTAAGATTAGGAAACAAGAATAAGTCAGAAGGAGCCAAATCAGGACCATAAGGTCCTAATGGTTTCTCATCAAAATGCTCACTAAATAGCCCTTGTTGGATGAAAGGAATGAGCAGGAACAATGTCATGCTGGAGAAGGACTCTGGAGAAGCTTCCTTGGGCGTTTTTCTCCTAAAGCTTTGGCTGACTTTCTGAAAACACATAAAAAGCAAATGTTACTGTTCTTTGGTTCTCCAGAAAATCAACAAGCAAAATGCCTTGGAGCATCCAAAAAAACATTATGACCTTTGCCCTTGACCAGTTCACTTTGGCTTTGACTGGACCATGTCCATCTCTTGGCAGCCATTACTTTGATTGTGTTTTCAGGTTCATACTGGTAAAGCCGTGTTTTATCTGCAGTGGCAGTTCTTCAAAGTAATGCTCTAGGGTCTTGATCCAACCTGTTAAAATGTCCATTGAAAGTTCTCCTCTTGTGTGCAGCTGATCTGTGTGCAGTGGTTTTGGCACCCATCGAGTGGGAAGTTTGCTCAACTCTGGTTTTTCAGTCAGGGTTGTGTAAGCTGTCCCAATTGAGATGTCTGTGGTATTGGCTATTCTGCTGTTTATTGTCGATCTTCTTCAATATTTTCCTGGCAAATTGATGTGAATAGTCTGCCGGGAGGGCTTCAACATTGTGTCATTCCGTCTTAAAATGAGTTATCCATTGGGAAACTGCTGACTTCCTTGGGTCATTATCTCCATAAATTTTTCATAAAGTGTTAGTGATTTCACCATTCTTTCATCCAAGCTTCACCATAAATTTACTATTTTTTCTGTCTTCAATTTTAGCAAAATTCATATTGCTGTTACAGGGGTTCTTTTAAAAGTGATGTCTTATCCTTCTTAGTGCCTCATACTCGATCCTGTTCATACAAGTTACTTCAAGTTTATTTTGGTGCGAAAAAGTTGAAACCCTTGCATAATTTTTTTTCGTAATACACATTTTCCATGAGCTTTTTGAAGACTTCTTATATATATGTTATGTATGTCTCTCTTTCTCTTTCTGTCTCTGATTCTATTGGATGTAAATCCTTTTTATGATTTAAGATATTTTTTGTCCTCAATAGTGCTTCATGCATTGGAAAATTTACTAGAAGATCTGCCTTTCAGTTAACTATACGTCACAGTTAATTTGCTAGTCCCCCAGCCTGTGGGCCTCTTGCCGGTAGCTTCACAGGTAGTCCCAGAATAGAGAGGAAGAAATGGTAGTGTCACACGGAAGTAGGGGAGGCAGGGAGCTGAGTGCCTGGAATTGCATGAGGCGGGTGTTTCCTCTCGTGAATATCCACAAAGCTGGGATAAAATGTTTCCCTTCTGTGGCCTGCTCTCTAGTCAGAAAGCTTACTGGGATGAGAATGGACAGTGCTCTTACCCCTAGATGTCTCTTCTTTCATTAATTGTCTTCATTCCTCCAAGTACTTTCTGATGGTGGTCATGGTTACAATTCCAAAGCAAAAAATAATAGAGGGGAGATTTTTATTTTTTTCAAATCAAAATGAGGGAAAGGCACATCTGAAAAAGAGATGAATATGTGTATTTTTCTGAAGGTAACTATTACAGATATTCACATTTTTTTGAATTGTGGAATTGTTCATGCTTATGTAAAAGTAGAGAGAGTAATATGAACCCTGGGTGTCTGTCTCAGTTAGCTTCGACGATTGTCAATAGCTCTGTGTCCCTTCTTGTTTTATGTCTGCTTTTAAACTTCTAAAAAATATTTTAAAAATGTATACCACAAAGTCATCAGTCATTCCATAGACTGAGAGAGAGAGACACAGTTTAGGCTGGGACAAACTGGCTTGTGTGAAAGGACACCAGAAGTGCTGCCATACTTCATTCTCATATGAATAAGTCGTTATGGGAGGACAGGAAAGCATGTTATGAGACGGGGGAGAAAGAGACCAACTGTGGAAGAAGCTTATATCACCAATAAAATGTGCATCTGACTTTTGGACGGGGATACATTCCTCCGCTCAGCTGCTACTTTGCTATGAATATCTCGAAAAGCAAATCGCTCCACAAATTGTAAAAGGTTTGCTAATCAGTGAAATACATTACTGGGAATTTTCACAGTGAGTGTGAATGGAAATTATTTTGTGTCTCAGAGAATATGTACAATTTTACCTTGTCTGCTATTGTGAGTTTATAACATGTTTTACATAAGACATAAACCAATTTCATTATAAGTAACATCTTAAACCATTCTTAGTACTTACTAATTTATGTTCTTCTTACAGGATATAAATATCCAATATATGGTGTCCAGTGGCATCCAGAGAAAGCACCTTATGAGTGGAAGAATTTGGATGGCATTTCCCATGCGCCTAATGCTGTGAAAACTGCATTTTATTTAGCAGAGTTTTTTGTTAATGAAGGTAATATGAGGGTGTATAATTTTGTCATTTTGGGGTAGTTTTGAAGAAAATTGCCCTCATCTGAACTTTTACCTACCTTTTTGCTCTATAAATGTTTTGGAAGTTCTACAGGTTTAACTTTAATGAATAATACAAATGGTAAGTAATGTGAAAGCCCTGAAATTGAGATGTTAGGTATTCTAATAAAACCAGGACAGTTATTTCAATTAACAGTATCATACATGCTTCAGTGGGCAGAATTCTTGAACAACAGCATGAATAATGTTGAGAGTTTTTTCTTTCTTTCTTTCTTTCTTTTTCTTTGTTTTTGTTTTGTTTTGTTTTGTTTTGTTTTGACAGAATCTTGCTCTGTTGCCCAGGCTGAAATGCAGTGATGTGATCATAGCTTATTGCAGCCTCGAACTCCTGGGCTCAGGGGATCCTCCTGCCTCAGCATCCTGAGTTGCTGGGACTACAGGTGCACACTACCATGCCGAGCTCTTTCTTCTCGGATACTTTTCATTTAGATTCTTCCATATTACTCTCCATTTTTTAGAATAATGCTTTAATTATAACCATCTCTGAGAATTAGGTGTTACTTTTCCAAGACAGTGATAGAAATTGAATGTATACCACCAGTTGGTGATTTTAAGGCTACCTGTCTGTAGGCATTGGCATAGTGGAGAAAGCAGATAAACTCTGCCTGCTTTTTGGTGATGAAAACCTAGACATATTCATGCTGTGTTACGTTTGTGGTAAACCAAGAATTTGGTTGTAAACGCTCATTTCTTAGTTAAGCATTTTAGGTACAATAAGTCCTATGATTTAAGCAGAACTGTGTATAGCAGGTCCTTGAACAACATTGTTTACTTTGAAGCTGTTTCATTATAACATTGATGGAAAATGGTTTTGTTATACATTGTTTTGCTTAAAAGTAGTACAAGAACCTATCAATGATGTTAAGTGAGACTGTAAGACAGAGGTACAGAAACAACTTGTAAAGGATAGAGATCACTTTGGTGAGGTATAGCCATTTAAAGACTTCAATGAACTTTGTTGTCATTCCATCTCCAAGCTTGCCCTAAGTTTTTATCAACTCTCCTGCCATTGTTGGGAAGTTAAGTACTTCCTACTGAGTTTACTCTGCTTTAGAATTATGCAAAGCTGAGTGGATGGTTTTATGACAAAAACTGCAAATTAAAAAAAAAAAAGTATCCCATATACAGTATTAGTCCAAAGGAACGTTTTCATGTGTGCGTGGAGTGAATGAGGGCAGCAGTGGCAGTGCCGCATTTGCTGCAGTAGTAGTCACGTGGCATTTAGTCTATGTGGTCTTTATCTTCCAACATTCTTCTTTCTAAAAATGCTGTAAGAGCCTGTATTTCCTTTGACTTTGGGAGCTTTAGGAGCTCTCACCTCCTCACATTTCAGCTTTATCATGCCAAACTTCTCACTGAGCCTCCTGGTTTTTCGTAATTCTGCCTTACCTGTGAAAATGTCTCACTTCTCCGTCTGCCTCAGCTTCGCCAGTTTCTCCATCCTTTTTACTCTTGTAGCATCCAGTGATGATACGCCATGAAAACATTTTTATCATGTGATTCTGTGTGGTTACGAGGCTGAACTTCTTGAGTGTTAGGATCTGTTCTGTTTATATTTCCATCCCCAGGCTGTGTATCAAGTCTTGTGTACACATAGCCACTTGGTAAGTATTTGAATGAGTTGCTGAGTGAGCACCACGTGGGATATGCTGCAGGGCAAATGCAGCACAGCTGCTGTGTCCGTGGGCGAGTGCCATAAATCGGGCACTGCTTTATTTGGGGAAATGTTGTAAAGCATTTCCCTCCCTCCCTCCTCCTCCTCCTCCTCCTCCTCCTCCTCCTCCTCTTCCTCCTCCTCCTTCTTCTTCCCCCTCCCCCTCCCCCTTCTCCTCCTCCTCCTCCCTGAAAGCAAGTTTATTAGAGAAGTAAAGAAAAAAAAGATGGCTGCTCTATAGGCAGAGCAGTCGCATTTCTCTTCTTGTTGATATTTTCCCACTTAATAATGCTGATTGCAGGAAGAAATGTTATAAAATAGTCTCTTGAAGATTTTATCATCTAATATTTTTAAAAATTAACTTTTTTTTTCTTCCAGCTCGGAAAAACAACCATCATTTTCAATCTGAATCTGAAGAGGAGAAAGCACTGATTTATCAGTTCAGTCCTGTTTATACTGGAAATATTTCTTCATTTCAGCAATGTTATATATTTGATTGAGAGTCTTCAATTTGTTGACAGGGCAAATTTGAATAATTCCATGATTAAACTGTTAGAATAACTTGCTACTCATGGCAAGATTAGAAAGTCACAGATTCTTTTCTATAATGTGACTGGCTCTGATTCTTCATTCAGTATAGGACTATTTATATAATATTTGATAATTAGTGAGACATAAATAATCACAGTGTTTTCATGGAAAAGCCTTCTTATAGCTGAAGATTGGAAAAAATAAATTTACTGAAATACAAATATTTTTTCTAATTGATTTGCTTTGGATATAAATACCATCCTCTACCTGCCCACCCCGTCCTCCTTGCTGAAAAAGAAAAGAATCTTTTAAAATCCTACCACTTGTTCATTGTGATGTCTCCCTCCTTTGGGTCTCAGGAGTATTTGTGTGTGCGTGTGTGTGTGTGCGTGTGTGTAGGTATGTGTGTATAGATATGTGTGTGTATGTGTGTATCTCCTTTTCTGCCCTGTGTTAACTTCACATTTCAAGCGTACACATCCTGAAAACAGAGTCTGTGTCTTGAACTTTTTATCTTTCACAATGTCTAGCCCAGTAGGCCCTCACTAAGTAATTGTCACTACTTGTAAGTTTTTTCCCATGGAAAATAATTTAAAAGCTGTCATATATTTATTTTGGCACACTTTAATGTACTTTTCTTTGTCTTTTTTTTTTTTTTTTTTGAGATGGAGCTTCTCTCTTGTTGCCCAGGCTGGAGTGCAATGGTACAATCTCAGCTCCCTGCAACCTCCACTTCCTGGGTTCAAGCAATTCTCCTGCCTCAGTGTCCTGAGTAGCTGGGATTACAAGCATGCGCCACCACACCTGGCTAAATTTTGTATTTTTAGTAGAGATGGGGTTTCGCCATGTTGTCCAGGCTGATCTCAAACTCCTGACCTCAGGTGATCCACCAGCCTCGGCCTCCGAAAGTGCTGGGATTACAGGCATGAACCACTGCACCTGGCCAACTTTAATGTATTTTTCAATCCGTCTACTCTCCTCCACCCTTCACCATCCCATATAACCCTCGGAAGTATGAAATTTAGGAACTCCTTGAGGACAACCAAGCTGCTGGAAGGAAGAAAGAGAGGGTTTGCTGAGCTGTGAATGGTAAATGGTATTTGTACATCTGTTCTCTGTGGGCTTCCAGAGCTTCTGCAAGAGAAGGGGAAATAGAAAACCGTGATTAGGGATGATGTTGGAGGGCATCGTGGATGATTTCACATGCAACAAGAGAAGAACAATCACCTGCAGACACTGAGCTAAGCCATAATCTTTGGGGAGTGGGGACAAATGGCACATATAAGTTGGAAGAGATTAATACATTTAATTAACAAAGAAAGAACTTTACTAGTAATGTGGCAGATTTAGTTTCTGTCTGTGAACATGATTATTTGTTGAGTCTTACTGTTGAACGTGCCTGGCTAAGTTTTTGTCTCCTACCACTAGAAAAAGGTAGTGACACTATTATTGCTCACGGTGCCAGGGTTCTACCCAACCCATTTGTGTTGAAACCATATAGAACTGCTTATCTGTGCAGTTCCCAAGAACAACTTCATCCCAACTCTGGTTACTCATGATGCTGCATCCTCCATCCTTTTCCTTGAATACTGGCTTCCAAAGGTTCTTACTGTGCTTCATAGACCACCACAAATGCAAGATGTGTTTCTGCTCATGTTCAGCTTATCGTTTTTCCCATCATGTATTTTTTTTTTTTTTGAAAACTTTATTTGCTAGGTAACTTTATTCCAAGAATGGAATCTCTTTCAAAGCTGACCACACCCTTACCTCTGCCCACCACCACCAGCAGGAAAGACAAGCCAGCTTGAAGGCAAGTGAGGAGAGCAGTGCCGTTCAGAAGCCTGGCATCCCTACATTAGTGGACACAGGAGAGGTCTTTGATTAGAGGTGCCTGTTGGAGTTGCTGGACAGCAGTCTGGAAAGCCCTGAGAGATGGATGGCCACTCCTGGAAGAGGGCCTAACGTGGGGAGCCTGGGGAGGAGGGAGGTCACAGCCCTCTGTCAGCAGGAGAGGGCAGAGGCTGAAAGAAAGTGTGACTGAGGGAGCAGGTGTGGATTGGAAAGGAATAAGAAGAAAGAACAGAAACAGGAAGGACTGGGTGGGTATGGAAGAGACAGCTAATGTGTTCCCTTCCCCAGCCAAAGCTGATTTGAGTTTCCAAGGGTTTTTGGAGAGCGATTGCCAAAGCTCTTACCTCCAGCATTTCCAGTTATCTTCCTGTGTGGAATATCCCAAATGGAGTAGATACACTGGGCTTCAAAGGCAGGCCCTGCACTCATTTCTGTTGAGCTAGATGTTTCTGAGGGCCCCACAGCTTCATGTATCTTGAGGGCTGGCGCAAGATATTTTATGAGGAGATGTTGAGTGTCTCCATTTCCACATAGCAGAGTAGGGGAATCCTCAAAACCTTGTCAGTAGGCCGAATCCCTCATTGCACAAATGGTCCTGTGAGAGTCCTCGCACCTAGAGCCTGGCGCACAGAAGCCTGGCGCACCTGCGTGCGCTTCCCCCATCTTCCCTCCCTCCATTGTAATAATCAAGTAGCCCTGCCTACATGCTGGGTCTTTCCATTTTTATCGAATTGCAAGAAAATATTTAAAAGAATTTTCTCCTATGGAAATAATTAAGCAAAAAAGGTCTTTCACTCCTCAGACACAACTTTGTTGTTTGTTTGGGATTTTATTTCATTTAAACAAATTTATTTCAAAAATAAATAAAATTTTTGTTCCACATAGCATTTTCTTTTTTCTTTTCTTTTCTTTCTTTTTTTTTTTTTTTGAAACAGTCTCGTTCTGTCACCCCAGGCTGGATGGAGTGCAGTGGTGCAATCTCAGCTCACTGCAACCTCCATCTCTGGGATTCAGGTGACTCTCCTGCCTCAGCCTCCCAAGCAGCTGGGATTACAGGCACGCATCACCACAACTGGCTAATTTTTGTATTTTTAGTGGAGATGGGGTTTCACCATGTTGGTCAGACTGGTCTTGAATTCCTGACTTCAAGTGATCCCCCTGCCTCAGCCGCCTAAAGTGCTGGGATTACAGGCGTGAGCCACTGCGCCTGGCCAGCATTTTAATTTTAGTTGTTAAAAATTAACTGGGGTTCTCCAGAGAGGGCCCCACCACATACCTTGGGGGAAGGAATGCTGACCTCATGAAGCTTCCATTAAAGCCCAAGAGGATGGAGTTTGGAGAGCTTCCGGACAGCTGAACACAGGGAAGTTCCTGTAGGGAGGCGCGCCCAGGGAGGGCATGGAAGCTCCGGGCCCCTTCCCTGGTACCTTGCCCTATGTGTCTCTTCATCTGTGTCCTTTGTAATGTCCTTTATAATAAACCTGTAAACATTAAAAATGAAAAACTGGAGGTGTTTTGCAGTAATGTATAGGAAACACTAGATGTCAGGAGAGAACAAGCTAACCTTATGTTTAACTGGTTGTGTTTGCACTCAATTATTTAGAATAGTAGATTTTAGGAAATTGTTAGAAACATAAGGAACATTTACAAGTAAATTATATTTGTTAAATATTGTATTTAATTTATTTAAATATATATTTATTTAAATATAAACGTAAACATAGACTACACCTAATACTGGATGTTTTCCACTCTGATCTATGAGGAGGTCCTGATGACTCAATAAAAACACTTTTAAGTGTGTATTAAGGGCCAGGTGCTATCATGTACATAAATCTATAGATTGTACATACAATTCCAATTTTCTCTCCCCTGATGCTTAACTGTCCAAAATCTAAGCTAGCAGAGTGTTTTTTTTGGGGGGGTGGGTGAAGAAAGAATCAACACCTCATGTAATGAGAGATGCTTCTGGGAAGGCCTGCAGGGAAGGTACCAAATCCATCAAGCATTCCTTGGTCATTTCTAAGGGTGTGGGCAGGAGAAGTACTTCAAATGAGCATGAACTTGGGTTTTTTGTTTGTTTGTTTGTTTGTTTGTTTGTTTTTTCCTATAGCGTAGGTTTCTCAACTTAATGTACTTTAAATCTTGTCATGGTTTCTCTTCCAAATTTAAAGGAAAGTTTCTAATCATTAGCTTTCCTGTTGAACTTGTTCCTTCTTGCATAAATTTGGCATGCTTTTCGGCTTCCAGTTCTCTGACATTTATTACAATTTCTCATAATCTTAATTTAGAGTCAGTTTGTTTCATAGCATAGATTCCCTTTAGAAAAATTTTACAATAACACTATAACATCTTTTGCTATAGTTCGGCATTCAAGTTACTCCTAGAAGTTTTTCAGGGAGAAACTCAAGGGTTTGAGGGAATTAGAGAATCTCAGAATGGAAGAGAATTTAGTTGATCACACTGGGTAGTGGGAAGACTGTATTTCCATTAATGAAGCCTACATAGTATTTGTTTTAGGCCAGCCACATCACTCCTGGATTATTACAATGAACTGTTCACAAACTAAAAATTGCAATTCTTAACCAGTTTGTATGTCATACCTTCCATCCAGCTTCCCAGTGGAGAAGAGTGGGCAAGCGCACCAGAAGTCAGATGCCAAGGGTCAGGTTTTATTTGTGCCGTTCGCTAACTGTGTAACCTTAGCCATGAAAGTTTCTGTTTATACTCTGCATACTTTGAGTCCTTTACATTTTTTCTGCCTTTTTAAACCGAGAAAAGATGATTTTTCTTTTATAGTCTCTGATAATCTAAAAAATTATTTCCTACACTTTTAATAAAATTAATAATTTGCACAATAAAAGTATTCACCTTGAGCAGCTAGAATAGCAGTTTTACTTTGCCAACAGTTAAAACTATCCTTTCTCTTTCAGTTTTGTAAAATGAAGTGAGGATGGGAATTTGCATTTTTTCTCTTCTCTAGTCAAAAGAATCTAAATTACTTGGTTCCTCTTTGCTAGTCTCTACCCAAGGACAAAGGAGCTAACACATAATATATGCGAATCTCTTAGTATAATTAAATATGATGATTGACCCCAGTTTTGAGGGAAAATAACCACATAAAACAAGATTTGAACTTAGAATGGACTTTAGAACAATAACAATGTAACAATGATAATAAAAGAATTGAATTAAGGAACTCCTTTTGTTATTTCCCCTTGGCCTGTTTTCACACAGTTGCCAATACTTTGTGTTCTGCTCTTTTTACTTAACTAGATCAAAAGCACATTTCCTCATTGCTGCAGGGCGGCCTGAGCTGCTGGGTCTTTACCCTGTGGGAGGGT